TCATTTGGTATTGTCAAATTGATTATTCACAAAATTCGATAGACTTCACATGTAAATAGGACGGTGATGTGAATATAAGTGTTCGAGGTCGACGAAAATATGTATAATATGCACCTCGGCGAAAAAAATCTATTGTCTCGTCTGATTGCTAGCCTCGGCTGAGGCCTCGGCTATCAATTCGCAGACTCGACTTCAATAGACAGTGTTTCGTCCTTGGTACATAAATAACTATTTTGATATTTCAACTCCCTTCATCTCAGGAACTATTCATTGTAGATAAAAACTGGAAAAAGCCCTTTTTATGGGAAATTTAATGTTGTTCAATTGAGGCCGCGATTTCCGAGTTATTCAAGAATAACTTGAAAAAATGACCTTCAAACGCTCCCCTATCGCCCCGCTCATTCCCAACGGGCCAGGAGTTTTAGTATGTTGTTCATATGGCACGATTTTTCCCCTATTCGACCTTTTTTTGGCTTTCCTCGATTGAACTAGCACTTCAAAAGAAACGAACCTAGACTATTCCGGCACTCTTGGATCTTCGCGGAAGCGTCGATGGCACTGGTGTGGGGACGATGTCGCGCTTTGTAGGCTCCTCGGGCGCATAACAGCGCGTCGGTCGGCAGGACGCGAGGGACTGAGGCATACGACGTCGCGACGGCGGGCCAAACCCCCCCGACGGACTAGGGTCTAGGGCGAGCACATTCTGAGGAGGCGAATGTACCCGAACGCTGGCTGCGGACACGATAACATCCTTCGAAGACTATAAACTGCTCAACACATGAAACGTCGAATCGTATCTTCCCGATCAAATTTGGATGCTCGTTTCATTGACTATGCCTCACTATAGATTAGTCAAATCTGAGGAAAAATCGTTGAATTTCAGGCAATAGAATACCATATCAAGTTAAATCTATGAATGGAATATGATTCGAAACGACTGTGGAGAATCATCTTCTCAGATATTGTTTTTATTCCGTTGATGAAATAAATAAAAATTGAATTTTATGAATTTTTCGAATTTTATGAATTTATCGAATTTTATGAATTTATCGAATTTTATGAATTTATCGAATTTCATGAATTTTATGTACTTGTGATACGATCGAGGATTCTATTTTGTGATGTTGAGTTTATTTTATTTTGGTATTCTTTTCATTGTATATTTCAACATTCTGGTCGTTTGTCTCCATTACATCTGTATACTTTATTGTAACTTGCTCTTGCTAAAAACCATTTTTGAATGAGTTACGTGTCATATAATTCTACCTCTATCTATCTTTAGAACTTATAGACGAAATAATTGCATCCCATCAGGATGAGATTCTACAGGATGATGATCAAAGCTGTGCCGTTTTCCAAAATTTCAAAGACGTCCTGTTTGAGAGAAAATGTTTTTTAATTCTATTTCGGTTTCAAAACATATCGCAACATATGTTTTCTCGGTACCTACTGTATACAATTTTTTGGAATTGTCACATTCGTTACTGAAATTTGAATATTTTCATGAGGGAACGCATAATTTGATGCTCTTATTCCTATTGGCTTTGTGTTCCTGTCCCTATATGGTTCGAACGGTAGTCAAAAATCTTGAAATGATGCATGACTTCATATTCTTAACAAGGTTTTTTTTGGTTTTGTTTGAGGAACACTCAGTATATATATATAAGAATATGTTGATCATGTATTATATCAAGATTGTTGACCATCGTTTGAACTAGAGTCACTCTGAATGGTATTGTTTGAACCAGAATGATAAGAACACAAAGTCAAGAGAAATAAGAGCACAAATTATGCATTCTTTATAAAAATATTCATATTTCAGTATGAAGAGCGTGACAATTTCAAATAAATTTGAATGGTATCTGTGAAACATAATATTGAGTATATTATGTTTGCGATGTTCTTGATCCCAAGAAGAAATTAGAAAAAAAGTTCTTTCAAACTGAAGGCCTTTGAAATTTTTGGAAAACTGCACAGCTTTGATTATCATCCTGTAGAATCTCATTCCGAAAAGATCCAATAATCATGTCATAGGTTCGATAGTCAATGAAACGAGCATCCAGAAACTAAAATAAATTGAAAGTCGTTTGAGGCAATCGAGAGTTATGATGATTCAAATTTGATCTAAAAGATGCGATTTTACGTTTCATTTGTTTAGAAGTGTAGATATGGAAAAGTTCATTACAGAAATTGGTCTGTTTGAAATTTGTTGTTTCACACATTTATCAATGTGATGTTTGCCTAGACTGAACGAGAGCTTTCGTATGTAGGTGTATACCTCGGTGATGTATACATACCTATCACCAGAGTACCAAGATCTTTCAATTCAACGGTAATAGTATATTACATAACAAGAGTGACAAAACGCATATTACGCACGAAGTGGAGAGTTAAACAAGATGCCGCGTAGCGGCGAGTGTGTTTCTTCACAAGTGCATAATTGCTTTACAACTCGAGAAATGTACTGTACTTTTTTTACGAGCACACTATACTTTTTCCAGGATAGTACAGATATTGTTTTGAGACACAAATATCAAATATGTCTTCCGTCACGTTGAGCTATATCTGCATGAAAAGGTTAAAATTGAAATTCCTGTATTTCTTCATTGGTAAATTGCATAACGAACCATTTCCCTCAATTTCAACGGAAATGAAACCGTATTTCATATCTCAACAGCTCAACTGATAATAAAAGAACACATTTATCCTGATAAACATAAAATTAACATTTATAATGATTATTTTCTAGTCACTGTGCAGTTCTTGGAAGTAACAGAATATTCTCCGAAAAAATGACATGATATTATTCCTGAGTTTCCAGTTCTTGAAATTTCTGCAAGCGATTTCGTATCTTTCACGAGACAACTCATCTGTTACTATTTTTGCTCTTTCCAGAATTTTTACATAATTTGACAAACAACTAAATAGTTAGGTACTTACGAGATCGAACACAACTGGAAACTGAACCTGTTACTCGAATTCTCAAAACAAACAATACATTCAATCGCTCTTAGATGAATTCTGATTGTCGAGGACATTCTTACTCGGGTACGTTCGCCTCCTCAGAAGGTGCTTGCCCTAGACTCTATTCCTTAACGGCGCCGATTGTGCGCCGGAGACGCGCCGCGGCGGTGATGCACGGTCGGTCGGTCGTCTTATGTTTCGTGGCGGGATTAGCGGAGTTGTATGAGGTACTCGCTAAAACTCGTAGATGGCTGTGATAATATAGAACATGGACAAAATGTTAGCTCGACTCACTACCGTGGCGATAAGAGCGTTTTTCCACCACTAGCTGACAGCTGTAGAACCTACCATTATTTACTCCTTCTTGAGGCGTCAATCTTTTGGCAATCTTTTGGTGGTACGTTAATTTCTTGAAGGAGTGTATATATTGATTGAAATATTGCTAGTGGTAAAAAAAATTAATATAAATTAATATAACTTCTCAGCTGAAGCCTCTGAATGTAATTTAATGTAATTTGATAATGTTCCGAATGGGCAACAAAAATTGCCAGACCAGTGGGTGAGTGCAAGATAGACTCAATAAAGTTGCCTATCAACCTGTACTATTTAAAGTAGAATCATCGTGGTGATTTGATTAATCTTCAAAAAATACTTTCACAGAAGCAAAAACGCCAATATCGGACTGGAATTCTGCACATAATCACTCGCAATCAGGTTAGGTTAGATTTCGGTTTCTCTCCGATTTAAAAGAGTGTTTCTACTGGAATGGGCGTGTACACCTTAGTAGAACTTTTAACTCAAACCATGTTTATAATGAACCTTTTATACATAAATAATGATTGACGACATAATTCGATCGAAAAATCAACTGGAATGTTTTATTTTTGGACATGAATAATAGTACCTTCTGAAGACGGACCCTCTTATGACGTAGAAACAGAAACCTCATCTCGCCATAGTTAAAAGAAAATAAAAAACGCCCGACGGAGACTGAGGCAACTGATATATTAATTCTTTCAACTGTGATCTCGCGCTAATTCACTCTGTCAGAAGTCATGTATCATTTATCTCTGTCTGGAATAGTCCTGTTTCAGTATTAGGGTTTTGACGTCACATCATCGTCTCGTTTTCAGAGGTCCGAAAAATCGGGGATTCCAATAATTTTTTATAAAACGTAGGGAGCTCACAGCAAGAAACGGTTTGCGGTGGTGAGCTAGTTTGGGTGAGTTCTATTGAATTATAAATGAATTTTTGTGATATAAGCCCATTCTAGTTTTGCTTGACGGTTATTGTATTTTGTGGATGCAATATATTGAATCGAATGCAATCTCTGATGATTATACCGTAAAGTGCAGTTCGGTAATCTTTAGCCCCCTCTGACACTTACTTTTCGCAAACTTAGTTTTCTTGAAACTCTCTGATTTTTATATTTGAAAGCGCCAAACTAATGCTTGATAAGAAATCAGTTGTAGAAACTTTAGCCTGATGCTGAATACTATGAGAAAAACGTTGCTAGCATTCAAACTATAAGATAGAATCTTTCGATATACACACTTATATTATAAAGAGACAAGATTTTATTGTTTGTTTGTTTGTATTAAATAACCTCCGAAACTTGACTTACACCATTAGAAGACGACATTATCCCTGATGAACATAGGCTACTTTTTACCGCGGGAAAATGCTTCATTTTTACGGGAAAACTCGGGTTGTATGACAACGGGTAATAAGAATTATCCTTCCTTCAGTGATATAATAATAGGATCACACTCAATAGACCCTATTCTACCGAAATATTACTGAGGAAAAACCATTTTATTAGTTCCAATGAGTATGACGAGGTAGTGTTTACAAACAGGTCATCTCACCTCGTCACCTCGCTATCATAATCACAATTTTTATAGTGATTAGAGTGATTAATCATATATACAAGATGAATTATCTATTCCAGAGTGTGTTGCGAATTCTGAACAACATTTTGATAATCTTGGTTCATAGCAGTCTCATAAGCGTTCTTGGAAGTCGATCTGCTACTGGTTCAACATGATGTGCGCTGGAATTTCCATTTTAAAGAATAACAACATGAAAGCCAATCAACTCATTAATATCGAACAGACATTAATGGCCTTTTACGGTCGATGCTAGCAATACACAATGGTCAATATCAGTATCTCCTCGGTAGCGTTAGTGCCAACATGTTCCCGTTATCGCATATTCCATTGTTTTCGTTGTTGTCGATGACGGTGATTTTATCTGCTAAAATATCGATGGTGAATTCGCACGGTTGCGAATCCTTCGACAACGTGCGATCTGAGGTGATCGAGACCAACGACCGTCAGTCCAGCGAAAAACTCGACGGCTGCATAGAGCGCAAGAAGCTGCACGATAAAACCATTGTATCCGCTTATTTCAGGTGAGTCGCTTATATAACCTTGAAATTTTTTATTTGAAACATAAAAAATATTTCAGCACCTTCGTAATCAGTACATTCTATATGTTGTTTATATATCAAAACACTTTCATCATTTTATTGTTTACCTCTTTTCAGTTTGGCTATCTGTAAGGATGATTCTTCAGTATTTGAAACTACTATTTATTTTTTTTTTTTTCTGTGACGGGAAAAAAGTTTGGCATTTCATCTCTGTTGGCAGGTTATAAAATGTCACTTTTCATAAATTACTTTTTTCCCGTGGGAAAAAAGTGAGTACTTTTTTCCCGGATATATCACATATATATACACTGTTGATGGCTTTTGTTGTGCTATAGTTCCTAAAAATGAACCGTCTCCGAGAAAGAACTGCAAGTACTTTTATCTTCCATTCGACTTCGCGGTTACGTATATTACTAAACAACCACTAAATTCGCAATTTTTTGAAATCAAATCATATAGAATTAGACTGCTAGAAGTGACATCAGATATTTGATTACTTCAAAAGAATGATAAAGATGCCTGCAACGCAGGTGTCCCTACTGTTAAAAACTTAAAATTTCACGTCGATAATTTTCAGATTTCAAAATAATGTGATATCTTCTCAATATTGATTCGTCCTTTCTTCTGTCACAGAAAAAAAATAGTGTATTATACACGGGAAAAATATTAGATTTTAGCTCACGGTTTTATGTCTCCCTGCGCTACGCGTCGGGAGACAACACAACCTGGAGCTGAAATCTAATATTTTTTTCCCTTGTATAATAAATAACTATTATTTCGGCTAGCTACAGGAGCGTGTTTTTCAGTGTTCTCATATTTTATGTAGGTACCTGATATTTTGACGGAAGAATCATGTTCTCCGACCCCGACAACTTCCAGATACTATAATTTTGAATAGAATCAGATCATATGATTACAAAACCCATCCGTCATATTCTATCCGCCATATGGAATTTTCCAATATTGACAAATGCATCATATACTCCGACCCCGAAAGCCCCCAGATACCAATTTCGAATATATTTTTTTTATTATTATTTTATGTTCTGGTTCCCACGAAAAGGGATATTCTGTAATGTTCAGAGAACATCGTGAGAACCAAGGGAAATAAGGTAGGAATAGGTGTTCTCCTTAAATTTCTGGAGGTTATATGCCTATCGGGGAACACCTCTCTTGGCAATGTGTTCCAGAGCCTCGCTGTTCGTTGGATGAACGAGTCTGGGAAGAGATGTTCTGCAGGTGCTCCACGAAGGGGTGCGAAGCCTCAACTCGACGGGTTAATCTCGCTGGGACTGCCAAGGGAGGTACAATTGTTGATATTTAAGAGAAGCATCGTCCATGAAAATATCTATAAAATATAGCCAGATCGCCAAGTTTTCTACGGTGTTCCAGAGGAGTGAGTGAGTTTGTGAGCGAGGCATCACCCAAGAGACGAATTGTCCTTTTTTGGATAGAATCCAAGAGTTTTCAGGGTATTTTTGGGCGCTGATCATATACTCACAGAACTCGTCCACCATATTATTGGAACGGCCATCTCAAATTTCCCATTTTTGACAAAAGAATCATAGTTTCCAACCCCGAAAACCTTCAGATACCAGTTCTAAATAGAATCGGATCATAATTACGAAACTCGTCCGCCATAGCATATCCGCCATCTTGAATTTTCAGATTTTGACGAAAGAATAATTATATTTTTTGACTCCGATAAAAATTTTGAATGGATTTTGATCTTAATTACAAAACTTGTCTGCCATATTTTGGATACGCCATCTTGAATTCACAAATTTTGACAAAAGAATCATTCCGACCTCAAAAACTTCCAGATACCAATGATCAATGAAATCTGATCATAATTACATAACTCGTCCGCCAATTTCTTGCCGAACAAAAAGTTCTTGATTCATCGCCACCAAAATTATATGTACACCTGCCAAATTTCAAATTAATCGGTTCATTTAAGTGGGTCGATCAGAATCGAGTCCAAAGGAGTCGATTACATACAAATATACTAGCATCAGGTGAAGCTAATAAAAGGGTGTTAAAAAAGTGCGGAGGCAGTTCTTGATGCAGACTGTCGATAAAAGTGAAAACTAAGTAACTTGTGTATTGTATCGTCGAACTATTAAATTATTATTCTTGAAATATTATTGGTTTGTATAAAAAACTGTAGTTTTACCTAATAATATCGTAATATTACTGAAATATTTTCGTTTTTCAATGTATTTGAAAGATTTATATTGAAAGCAGAAAGAATATAATATACCACTTTGTATAAAAACATGTACATATATAATATTTCTCTTTTACTACAGGAACAAGAATTTGGAATGGACTGAAGAAGACATGAATCAACAATATATTTATATATATGCAATCGACACCAAATATATATCTCAATAGATGAAGCTATATTTGATACCTACTGATTTTTTATCATTTGATTTCCAAAGATGAGCATCCATCATTATACACCCACATGTAAACATCCAATGTACGTCCGAAGTGGTGTCCTCAAGACATCCAATGGACTTCCATTGGACGTTTAACGTCCAATTTGGTACGTCCAATGGATGCTCAGACATGTACATCCATTGTGAGTCCAAATATAAACATCCACTGTACATCCACATGAAGACATCCACAGTACGTCCAAAGTGGTGTCATCAGGACATCCAGTGGACGTCCATAGGATGTTAAACGTCCACTCGAGTACTTCCATTGGACGTCCTCACGATCCGACGTGGACGTACATTGTACGTACATTGGACATACATGTGCTGTGTGGGCGTGCTTGTAGCCAGATATAAATTCTGAATAGAATCGGATCATATAATCACAAAATTCTTGCGTCATATTGGATCCGTCATCTTAAATTTACAAATTTTGACAAAAGAATCATAATCTCTGACCCCGAAAACTCCCAGATATCAATTTCGATTAGAATCGGATAATAATTACAAAACCCGTCCGCCATATTGGATACGCCATCCTAAATATCCTAATTTTCACGAAGGTATCATTATCCTCTACCCCGAAGACCCCCGTATACCAATTTTGACTAGAATCTGATGATCATATATGATTACAAAACTCGTCCGCCATATTGGTTCCGCCATCTTGAATTTCCTAATTTTCACGAATTATAAAACTTATATTCCTATATTCCAGACTTGAGAGAGATGCAGAGTTGACTTATAAATGGTGTAACCAACATGATTTTAAGCACGAAATTCAATGTTTTTCTTGACTCAAAAAAGTGCTTAACGCGCCTATAAAGAAGTTTGCACTTCAAAAGAATGTCATTGTCCTTCTTCAGTAGATATATATTGAGAGAATCATTACCGGCATCACGGCATCAGGCAACCAATCACAGCGCTCGATATATATTGAGAGAATCATTACCGGCATCACGGCATCAGGCAGCCAATCACAGCATCTCATTCAATTAATCATTAAGTATGTGAAAATACGAGAATGAGTTATATAATTCATTTAAGACTAATCACTCTTCAATATTCCGCGGGATATCTGTGCTATATCATTTCATCACTATCAATAACAGCCAGGACCGACAAACCCAGTCAGCGCATCCTTTCATTCAAATATGTCGAACAACACTCTACTCTAGGCAATAATTTGCCAAGAACTTCCAAAAGCTAAAAAATCACAATACCTACCTTCTTTCCCTAGCACGATGTTCTTCGAATATTATAGGGATTACTTTTGTACGCCCCAAGAAAAAAATCTTCAATATTGCATCTACCTATTCAACTTTTCATAAGAAAGCAGAAATATTTATTCTTTCCACAAATAACTAACGCGAAGGCTTTTCATGAGACGTTCATGACGTTCATTGAAATAATTATTTTTCAACAGATGGCTTAAAGTGGGTTAATATTTTCAAATAGGATTTAATTCGCAAATTATTCAGCAAGTGATGGTGATTCTTATTAGCGAGAGTATAACGAATAGGTAAATTGAAACGAGTTTCGCAAATATGAGACAATTGTGCCATGTGGAATAATCATCTTTAATATACCAGCAGATGGTTAATTAGTCCAATTCAGTTTCAGTTAGGATAGGTCATGTCTTAACTGATGTTCAACATATGTAGGCGAAAAAAATTAATCGCGCTGATATCAAAATGGGGTGAAATAAATTTGCAAGATGCGAGTTTGGTGAATTGGTAGTAATGAATGTTTTATTCATGGTTAATTAGACCCATTTAGTTTCAGTTAAGATAGGTCATGCATTCCTTTTTATCTCATTACAGTTGATTAAATTTTTGAAGCGAAAAATCAATCGTACTGATAGGAAAATTGAATCAATGAATATGTAATTGTACCCGTATGGTGCAGTAAATTTGCAAGATGTGAGTTGTTTGGTAAATGTTTTGCTCTTGATGGGGGATTAGCCCTGAACAAATAAATAGTACTCGCACAAGCAGTCAAAGTCATTCTAGTACCGTTCAGAGATCGCATACCAAGAAAACTAAAGTTTCAACAAATTAAAAAAAACTCAGATACTGAAAAAATGAAGACAAAAGTTTTTACCGTACCAATTCAGAGGAAAAAAATTGATATTTTACAGTATCTCAAACGTGACAAAAACTCAGATACGTTTCGAAATATTTCACCACAATTAAACCAGAGTGTCGAATTCGTAAGCGGCTCATTTAGTGATCACAAAGCAATGCCGTTTCGGCCATTAGCAGAATCAACCCCTCGACGTGGAAAAGTGTTAGTGCAGCCAGAATTTGAAGAGATCTCAGATGTTTCGTCGGATGACGAAGAAGTTCAAGATGACGGGGGAGATGAAGAAACGGATGCAAATTTCATTAAAAAGGAAGGTGATGACCGTGAAACGGTAAAAGCAGAAAGTGGTAATTCAATAATTGAAGAAGGAGATGAAGAAAAGTCTGAAGCGGAAAATGAAACAGATAACGAAAATTAAGAATATACTATACAAGATGGGGATCTCAA